CAATTGAATATGTATTGAATATTAAATAATATAATCATTTTTCATCATACAGATTTCTTTATTTTAATGTTCTTATAGGTAAATAAGTCATGAAGAAAGAACATTTTAAATTAAAAAAGCAAGAGGAACTTGGTGGAACTTTTTCGGTTGAAAACTAGATCTTTTTTATTAAAGTTGGTTTCTCAGTTGTTCTTTACTTGGAATTTAATGATTTTTGTAAAAATGTTTATTCATGAACATAGACACATCTAAGTTTTTGTTTAAATGTTTAGTTATGAACATATGAAAATAAACCCATTTGAGTTTTTGTATAAATATTCAGTTATAGCTATAATTTTCATGCATGTTCACCTATGAACATATATAAACATGATTAATTTTTCAAATATTTTGAATAGATGTTCATTTATGAATAAATCTTATAAATATTAATAGTAAGAAGAATTTTTTGAAGTTAAAATTTTTCCTTCCTATTTTATTCGGATTAATTTCAAATAAATGTTATAATTTAGGAACATAATTAATAATCTATTATTTTTCTTTTTAAAATAAAGTAGTTTTATGGTTTTATAAATAAAACTAGATTATGACCCGCGTTAAACGCGGGGAACATAAATTAAATACATATCACATTAATAGGTGACATTGTCTTAGGTGGAAATTTAATAAAAAAATGTTAGTTAGATTTAAAAAGAATAGAGTAAATGCAAGAAATTGGAGAAGAAGAAGGAGAACAGAATAAAGAAAGAATCTAGAAAAAAAATTGGAGAAGAAGAACACTGAAGAAGAATACTGTAAATCGTAGGACTCAATCCAAACTCATAAGAATAACAACTTCAATGTAATCATATATATAAGGTGTTTTTGAATAAAGAAATTATTATCTTCCAAAAAAATTGGGAACATAAGATATCATCTTGGAGATTTTCGGCTATTCATCTGGAAAAAAAAGAAAGATATCAGTTATATTGATTTAAAATTTCAAATTAATTGACTTGCTTATTTAATGAGTTTTAAAATTCAAACCATTATCTCAAATTGATTCATTTTACGTGGGATATACTAAGAGATAAATTATGAATAATATTGACTATCAAATATTTTGTTGATTTAATGAGATTAGATTAGATTTTATAGGTTAATAACCGAATTATTGATATGCTTATTTAATGAGTTTTTTTTTTTAAAGTTAAACGATTTTAAAATTTGAAGCCAAAAGCTATAAATAAAGGAGTTAAATTAGGATCAATATTAATTAGGGTTAATGATGACATAGATCGTCAAAAGATGTCTTGAAGGAGATGCATGCTTCAGTTTGTAGAGATTTGTATGAAGCCAAAACAATGGTGTGATAATTGGAGATGCAAGGAAGAAGCAATAAACAAATTCTAAGAATACACGAGCAAAAAGGAACCACCTTCTAGTGCTGCATTCTGTTATGAACACACAAAGCATCAATTGAAGCACAACCATTGACATGAGGATGAAGAGGATTAGGGAATTAGGGTTTAAAAGAGAAAAATAGAGGAGAAAGACGAGGCGGCTATTAATGTTTTTTGCCAGAATTATGGAGAAACTGATATCTCTTATATAAATAAAATGATATGCTTTAATTGATAACATAATTGTTGAATTTAAAGATTCTATAATTAAATGTAATTATGTTAGAATTGTGAAATATATCTTAGGAAGTAGCGATAGATTCTATAATTAAAGATTCTATAATTAAATGTATTTTTGTTCGAAATGTGATTGCTGAATTTAAGATTCTATAATTTAAAGATTCTATAATTAAATGTTTGAATTCTATTTGGAGAATATGATGTCATCAATTTGATCTAATGGTAGAAAACATAGGATTGAAATACAATCAATGGTCATGATTGCTTCATTGGTGAATTAAAGGTTCTCTTTTAATAATATTTAGAGATTAACTGTATGTGTGTGAGAGTGAATGTGAGTAATTTTTATTGTTTTGCTTGTTCAAAGATTTAACAAATTGTGCTTATTCTTCGACAACATTTTCTTATTCAACCATGAAATTTTAAAGTTAATGGACATATATACCCCTCATTGATAGATAATGTATTTTAATTTTAATTATATAGTACTTTAGGCATTGATTTGTTTCCTGCAGTACTGCGATCTTCCTCCTCTCGCGTTGCAATTTTCAACGATTTGTTTCCAAAATATCCCAAGATAACCTACACACGTATGATTTTGCGTGTATCGAGCTATAATATTAACGTATGATATGGAACCCTTGAATAGATTCTGCAATAACAATGTTCTTATGTAAATTTATAAAAACAAAGAATGCACTTGTTTATAGTAAGATGCACTAACGATTGTGTTGGAAAACAGGGCAAGGTGCACCAAATTGGGCAATGAGCAATGAAAGATGTGGAAAATATGGCCCGACTGTATTATCTTGAAGATTTGGAGCCGCTCAAAGATGACTTCATAAACAATAACTAACAAAGTAAATAGCATCTAGTGCATTATCTTTAATAACTTATTATCTAAAAAATAAGAGCAAGATTGAGCACCATTCAAAACATAAGTTAACAATGTGATAATTAAAGGAAAACATTTACTTAACCAATCATATAAGTTTTTCATTACATAATCTAGTCTGTCTAAAATACTTACCACTGCTTGGAAATACCGTTTCATACCAGAACCGAACTGAATCTGTATGTTAGTTTTCAGTTCCGATTAAATCGGTTTTCGGGCCGAACCATACACATTACCACTTGAGAATCAATACCTATATAAATTTTTTTTACCATAAACTGTTTATATATTTTCCTTCAGTAAATTATTATATATGTTTCTGATTCCCTTATAATTTTCTAAATATTGAACTATAATATGTGAATGATTCCATGTGTATGTGTCTGTTAGTCATATGACATAACTTCCCTTCTTTTTTTTTTTTTTTTTTCAAAATGCATCTATTTCCTCCAAGAAATCAAACCATAAACTCTTCTTGGTTTTTTTTTTCCATAAGAATTAATATCAAGATTTTTAGTTGATAAGAATCAACAGTAGAAATGTAATTGTCAAAAAGGAAAAACGCAAAATGTTACTGAATCACTTGTTATAAAATATAGAATCTCTTCTCATTCAAATCAAAAGGACCTTGTGAACATGGTTCTTCCTTACCAATTTAATATTGGCGAATTTTCTTACAAATTCTCTTATTCAAAATCCACCCTAACTCCATTATCAATAAAACCCAATTCCTAGAAATAAAAAACCTTTGAAGAATTTGAACAGGTGTATATGACTCCAAACATTAAAATACTATCAATTAAACAATTAAATATTAAAATATACTATATCTATGAGGGACAAATATGTCAATTAACTATAAAATACCGTGGATCATCACCCTTTAACAAAAGCATGAATGGGGGCCAGGGGTGAGAAGCATCACAAATATGCAACTTTTCCATTTATTTCATCAAAAGATGATTATGAGTATGAAACGTCATAATCGTTGGTAAAGCTTAACTTCTCATCCTTCCAACTGTTGGGTTTCATAGTACTTTAAGGAGCTAATTCCGGAAACCAAGAAACATTGTCCCGTTCAATCACCAACATTATGTTAGTTTTAATAAAATTCATCACCCAAAAAGCTCCTTGTTGGTTCCAATTTCATCTTTTGCTTTTTTGAATCAAAGGAAGACCTCGGCACATTTTTTGAAACATAAAGAACACAGGTACCCACCTATCTCCTGCAAAATCTAGATGATATACCCCTCTCTCCTAATTGATTTATGATCAAAAGAATCAATCTTGTTTCCTTCTCCTTTTTGTTTCTCTCGGGGGTTTTTGAATTTTATTCATTGGTGTATCCGAGTTGAGTTTATTTTACATCGTCCTTGGGTTTGCACCCCAGATGTTTGTTGTTTTGCCACTGAGAGTGACATTGTTGATACAAGGAGAGCTCGATCTGGGTTGATCACATTACCATAACTTTCCTTAGATATCATACATATATCTAAATTAGGAGATAATGAGCAAAATCCTTGTGCGCATTTTGAAGTCCGTGGAATCAAAAGTCAGGAAATCACAAACATCCGCGAAGAAAAGGGCAATCAGCATTTTCACAACAATGTCCGTCGCCCATGTCGATGACGAGGTTAGCGATGCAGAAGTTTACAACACTGAGAAGCTCTTCTGTAATGGCGACATCTATATCGGTCAGTGGGCTACTGATACCCCTCATGGAAACGGCAAATACTTATGGTCCGATGGGTGTATGTACTTAGGCGACTGGAATAACGGGAAAATCCATGGAAAAGGTAAATTCAGCTGGCCTTCTGGTGCTTCTTACGAGGGTGATTTCAGGAATGGTTACATGGATGGAGAAGGTACTTTCACAGGCTCTGTAAACGATTCTTATAAAGGATCTTGGGTTATGAACAAAAAGCAAGGAAAAGGGACAACAAATTATGCAAATGGAGATCATTACGAAGGGGAATGGAAAAAGGGATTCCATAATGGACAAGGGAGGTATCGTTGGGAGAATGGGCATCAGTATATAGGTCAATGGAAGAATGGGAAAATGAACGGGAATGGAACCATGATGTGGGAGAATGGGAATCGGTATGATGGGAGTTGGGAAGATGGATTACCAAAAGGGAATGGGACATTCCATTGGTTGGATGGAAGTTTCTATGCTGGAATCTGGAGTCGGGATCAAAAAGAACAAAGTGGGAAATTTTATCCATCGACTTCACAAGTTCCTCATGATGATTGGGATCCACATCAGCTTTTTTCAGTTGAGATGGGTGAATGTTTGATTTGTGAAGGCGAAAACATTGTGATTTTTCCTTCTGATAAGTTGTTTTATTGGTCTAATAATGAGGAAGGAATGCCTCAAAATCCAACAACAACAACAACAAGGGGAATTGATACGAATGGGAATGGTGGAAATGGGTATTTGGGCGGGTCGTTGAAGATCCGAATGCAACCTGCAAAGAGGCAAGGAGTTACAATATGTAAAGGGCATAAAAATTATGAGCTTATGCTCAATCTACAGCTTGGTATAAGGTAAAATATTAAATGAATAAATCATTCTCATAATCTTTATGTTTCATTGTAGTTTTTAAGTTTTCTTGTTTAGTTTACAATCATAAAGATAATACGTGGAAAAATGAAACAAAAGTGATGTGTTGATGATTCATACATTTAAAACTTTTGTGTCATTGGTGCCTGAAGGCCCTATTTTGCAGACATGACAGAACAAGTTGTACTGTGTTTGGCTATGACTGTAACTGATGTCAATGGTATATAAGTATGCATTCATTGTGTCTTTTTATTATTTTATTATTAATTAATGGTGTAATTTCAGACATTCTGTAGGAAGGCCAGCTCCAACAAAATCTTTAAAATTGAAGCCTACAGCTTTTGATACCGAGCAAAAGTTATGGACAAGATTTCCTCCCGAGGGATCAAAACATACGCCACCTCACCAGTCATGTGAATTTAAATGGAAAGACTATTGCCCGTTGGTATTCAAGTGAGTCTTGTAGGCTCTCTTTCTTATACAGACATGACAAGGTTGTACTATGTCTGACATTTATTGGACTATCATGCATTGGACTGAGACTAGAACTGACCCAAAAAGGTAATGAGACAAAAATTGCAGCTTTTTGTCTCACCCGAAAACATAATAGGACAAAAATTGCAGCTTTTTGTCTCATCCGAAAACATAATAGGACAAAAATTGTACGCTTTTTGTCCCACCCAAAAAGGTAACAGGACAAAAATTGCAGCTTTTTGTCCCACCCAAAAAGGTAATAGGACAAAAATTGCAGCTTTTTATCCATCCAAAAACATAATAAGACAAAAATTGCAGCTTTTTATCCATCAAAAAACATAATAAGACAAAAATTGCAGCTTTTTATCCATCAAAAAACATAATAAGACAAAAATTGCAACTTTTTATCCATCCAAAAACATAATAAGACAAAAATTGCAATTTTTTATCCATCCAAAAACATATCAAGACAAAAATTGTAGTTTTTTGTCTCACCCAAAAAGGAAATGAGACAAAAATTGCAGTTTTTTGTCCCACCCAAAAATGTAATGGGACAAAAACTGCAACTTTTGTATCCAAAAAAATGGGATGGGGACTAGCTCCCAATCTCTAGTCAGTGCAAAAGACATGAATGCCCTCCTAATCTGGATGTTCGAAAATAGCATAGAACGTTTGTCCAGTTTGAGGGTATGTTTGGAAATATATATTTATGTTCACTCCCGTGATTTTCTTTCTTACATGTTATTGACGGTTTCAGGACTCTTAGGAAACTATTTAATGTGGATCCAGCTGATTACATGTTATCAATATGTGGAAACGATGCTCTTCGGGAGCTCTCATCTCCTGGAAAAAGCGGAAGTTTTTTTTATTTGACTCACGATGACAAGTACATGATCAAGACAATGAAAAAATCGGAAGTTAAAGTGAGTCAATTCAATCCAATGTAGTTTCTTATAAATCTCATATATATAGTTTCAAAATAGTACAAGAAATGTACTCCGAAATATATCCAATTTTCAAAATTTAATTTTGTAATACAAAAACACGAAAATAGGATGGTATAATACAGTACATTTCTCTTTCTCACTTTCTCTTTCAACTGCTTTATTTTTAGGACATTATACTTTGAAAACATCCATCTACCCAATTGCTTTGTATCTAATTTAACATTGTCATAATTGGGTAGATTTTTCAAAACACAATGCTATAAATTTAACCTGTTAAGTTTATAATATTATCTTGCATTAATCTCAAAAAAGACCTTATATTTTGTGTTTTTTTCCAGATTAAACCTCAACTTTAGTTTTTCCCTTAAAAAAAACCTTGTATTTTTTCCGATCCACCCTTTCAGTCATTTTTTCCCAAAACAATTTATAAAACGTGAGGGTTTTTTCTCGAAAAACTAAAAAGGTCGAGGGTTTATTCGAAAAAAAATACACTTTTCCGGAAAAAATGAAAAAATACAAGGTCTTTTTCAAAAAATAAATTCAAAGTTTAATCCGAAAAAATACACAAAATATATAAGGTCTGTTTTTTTTTTAGATTAACCCTATTATCGTTTAGTAGTTGATTCAAATGCATACTTATACTACTTTAGGTTTTAAAAAGAATGCTTCCAGCATATTTTGAGCACGTGAAGTCGTTTGAGAACACACTTGTTACAAAATTTTTTGGATTACATTGTGTGAAGTTAAGTGGGCCCATACAAAAGAAGGTGCGATTTGTTATCATGGGAAATTTGCTATGTACTGAAGTTCCTATTCATAGACGCTATGACTTGAAAGGTTCTTCACATGGGCGAATAACAGATAAACCAGAAACCGAAATTGATGCAAACACAACACTTAAGGATCTTGATCTTAAATTTATTTTTCGGTTGCAAAAAGATTGGTATCACGAGTTTTGCAGGTTAGCTATATATGACTGTTTCTTTTTTTCACTTAATACAGAAAGAACGACTTAACAGACTAACTTAGGGTTTACAAATGTGCACTTTTTTTTTGTTTCTTCTTTCCATTTCCCAAGTTGGTTGTCATTTTGTCAAATATTTTTTAAACATGAATTAACTTTTTGTTTGTAATTTTCCCTTTTTACAAATGTGCCCTTTTTAATGATTGTTTTATCTTCGTTGTTTTCCCTTGAGTATATAGTTACGTTGCTATTATGGGTAAAAGAATATAAGTATGTTGGTATGCACTGTGTTTGACATGTAATGGACCAATGACTGATATCAATGGAATAGGGACTCACTTTTGATATCTTGTTTGTGTAAAAGACGTAAATGCCCTTCTTCTTGTCATTATTGAAAAAAGACCTAGAAAGCTTGTCGAAGTCCTGTGTAGTAAATTTAGCGGAAATGATAGAATTGTGAGATGTTTCTTGAAGAATGTTGCATAGTTCTTTTTATATTTATTAATTTGTTTCAAAATTTTATAATTGATGCAGTCAAGTGAACAAGGATTGTGACTTTCTTGAACAAGAGAGAATTATGGATTACAGTCTGTTGGTTGGTATTAGCTTTCAAGAACCAAATAGGCAAGCACCTGAAGGTATTACACACACACACACACATCTCTCTCTCTCTCTCTCTCTCTCTCTCACACACACACACACACACACACACATCTCTCTCTCTCTCTCTCTCTCTCTCTCTCTCTCACACACACACACACACACACACTAAAAAACACACACTTTGTCCTTTTTTTTTCTCTTTAAGTGTTGTCAGGATAACTGATATTTAAAGTTTTTTGAGAAAGTAAGTGCACTCTTGGGAAATGGGAAGAAAAATATACATGGGGGCAAATTTGTAAAAAGTCAGGAATTAAAGTAAAGCAAAAAAGAAACAGCATCTTATTTTGTGTTTTTTTTTTCAGTGAATGCTGATGCTGATAGCAATGGAACAACTCCTAGCCTTTCAACAGACATGGATTCTCTTATCAATCCTACAAAGTAAGTTACATGTTGTAATTTAATAAAATATTATTATAAGTTTAAACAGTCTTGATTTGAGCCTATAAGGCCATGTTTTTCTTTGTCTCATAAAGTGATGTCATGTTTAAAAGGTATTTGAGAAAATGAGAGCATGTGAAAAGAGAAGGAAGAAAATGAGTATTTAAATTTTTACCCTTACATTCTTAACAAACAATTTTCCTTATACTCATTAATTTTAACAATTTTCGTCAATTTAGAAGTGAGTGAAGATAGCAAGGAAAAAAAGGATAAATAGTGAAACTCAAATGGTAAATGTTTTTAACCGAAAATTAGTTTGAATACATAAAATTGATGAAATTGTGCTTTTCAACATTTTAAATTTGGAGATGTGTAATTTGATTGGAACATTAAAAAGTGTAATGATTTTTTGGATTAATCTCATAAAAGACCTATTTTGTGTTTTTTCCGGATTGAACCTCATCTGTAATTTTTTTTCATGAAAAAGACCTTATATTTTTTCAATTTTTCTGAAAAAAACCCTCAACTTTGTATTTTTTTCCAAAAGAAACCCTCAACCTTCTAAATGCTTCCAAATTAACCCTCAACTTTTTAATTTTTCTCAAAAAACCCTCGCATTTTACAATTTTTTTGGAATGACTAAAAGCGCCAGATCGGAAAAAATGAAAAAATACAAGTTCGTTTTTCAGGGAAAAAAAATTTGAAGGGTTAATCAGGAAAAAACACAAAGTATAAGTTCTTTTTTGAGATTAACCCTAAAATATATACAATTGAAAGTTTACTAAATGGGATATTAAGTACGTTGCTATTTTTAATCTAAAAAAATTGTACGATTGTAAATTTGTAGGTGTAGTTGTTTACGGTTAGGAATTAAAATGCCAGCACGCGTTGAATTCACGGTGAGAAGTAATGACACGCAGCTAGTTGGAGAACCGACAGGACAATTTGGTGATGTCATCCTTTTCTTTGGTATAATAGATATACTACAAGATTATGATATAAGTAAGAAGCTTGAACACGCGTATAAATCATTCCAATGTGATTCCACTTCCATTTCTGCTGTCGACCCAAGATTTTATTCTAAAAGATTTAAGGATTTTATATTTAGAGTTTTTTCAGATGACAGTTAAAAAAAGTTGTTACAGGATTTGAGAATAAAGAAAGAACCGGTAGGCGTCAAATGTATAGTTGGTCAAGAGTATATGATATTGGCCATGTGTGTTTACCGGTGTACGTGTAACTTGAGATGTAGACTAGATAGTGGTTTTAGAGGTTTACTAAAGATAAAGATATAGATTACTTTATATGAAATGGTGTTGTTAGTTTCATTGTGTTTGTGTAGGTTTATTTTCTTCTTGAGTTACTAAAATCTACAAATCGGAGATGGGTTCGTGTTCATGAAGTAAGAAAGAAACGTAAAAAGGGAAACAAAAACTTGTCTACGTTTATTATTATTAGATAAACTTGTAGCCTATGGGTGTTTGGTGTAAAATAATAACATTATGGGTATGTTTGACACACCACTTTTAGCTTTGGGGAAAAACACTTAAAAAAAGGAAAATTAGTAAAGTTTTTTGCTTTTATTTTAAAATAAAAAGGTCATACTCTAAAAGTTATTTCAAGTGGTTTAATTTTGGAAGCTTTTAGCTTTTCCAAGTTTTTAGCTTTTGGGTTTGTATAATAATAACATTATGGGTATGTTTGACACACAACGTTTAGGTTTTGGGAAAAACACTTAAAAAAAGGAAAATTTCCGTTCAGTAGTAAAGTTTTTTGCTTTTATTTTAAAATAAAAAGCTCATAATCTAAAAGTTACTTCAAGTGGTTTAATTTTGGAAGCTTTTAGCTTTTCGAAGTTTTTAGCTTTTGGGTTTGTATAATTTTACACATTTAGAAGTTAACAACTATTTTTGCTGAACATTTTTGCACAAATAAAACCTATAACTTTGGGATACAAGCTATCGACTAGTTTTGCCACACACTTATATACATACATAAAACATGTAGAGACATACATAAAATAGGTGACTAGCACGTTACTATACTCTATTAATTTACATGGTAGTTAGCTACACTGAACTTTTGTATTAATTCCATATTAGCCACATTGAAGTTTCTTGCTTTGCTATTTAGTCCTTGCGTCTATATATATATATATATATATATATATATATATATATATATATATATATATATATATATATATATATAATTCTCCATTATTTTATTCTTTGTTATGCCAAGACCCATGTCTTTTAATATTTGTCACTTTAAGTCCCACTATTTTGTATGTTTCAACATTTTGCCAAAATATTTTTTGTAGTTTGACAATTTTAATCCCTGATATGTTGTAATTAGAGATTGGCCACATGTCTATAAATATTTGTCACTTTAAGTCCTTTTTTTTCGTCTTACTACTTATATTTCATTACAGATTGGCCACACGTGTTTTAATATTTCTCACTTTCAGTCACTTTGACATTCATTTTGTTCCTTTTCCGTGTACCGATTTGTGTTTCTGTTTTGGGCTTCGTTTTGTCATATTTTTCTCATCGCCATCGTTTGTGCATAAAACAAAATGCATCTCATCGTCACAAAAGTGACCTGTGGTTCACCACGGGCCCACCCACTAGTTTAAATATCAAAAAGGAAAGTATTATCGCATACCATAGTCAACTCGAATATGCAAAAAAAAAAATGAAAAACATCAAGGTTTGTAAACCAAATAAAATAAATGATTAAATATAAATTAAAAGTATTAGAGAAGTACTATAATAACAATAAATAGTTTTTTTTTTTAAATGGAAGAAATTTTATTAGTAAATTAGGTAAAAGTTGTGAAGAAATAGCCACGTTTAAATTTTTAACCAACCAACCTAGTTCATTTTCAAATTTTCACTTCTATTAGACAACCCAAAGTAAGACCGACATTTTTATCGAATAAGGCATATGTTCTTGGGGTTTTATAACAAAAAAAAAAATTCAAGAGTTTTGAAAACATCCAAAGAACCCAAAAAGTTGTAAAAACAACATCGAAACATTTTCATCACTTTAAGCCCGAGTGGTTCGCCCAACAAAACCAATCTTGAACTATGCGAAAATAAGGTATATCTAAGTTCCACCCTCGTCCAATTTGTCTTCAAATGGAAAAATCCATGAAACAGAAAATGAAATAGTGACAGGCCGTCTCTGTATTTAAATAGCCGTATAATTTTGTATTGTATATTGCGTGAATAATAGGTTACAAAGGTCTTTATATATAGATTTTTCGTTTAAACTTACAAATTGTTCTTGATTATTTGTGTAAATGTATGGTGTTGCTTATTTTTATGTTTTGATTTATATGGACTAGAAATTGATTGTGACACATATTTTGTTTCTTTTTATGTTGTTGATACACCTCATAAGTGTAAGAAAGGCATATTTGGGTCAAATTAAAGATGGTGATAAAGAGGTAGTTATGAATGATTGCAGTTTTTACAGCTTTATCATTTGATGCGTTAATCCATGTTTATCCATTATTTACTAAATCTTATCTAAAATGTCAATTAAAAGAATTGGAAAATGAATTTGATGCTGCTAAAGAAGAAATCATGCCCATTCCGCTCTAAGCAAGAAAATGTACATGGATACACTCTTTCATGCTCTTCCAATCGATCATCATGTTTTTAGCTTTTGTATTTTCTTCTCTAATGTTCCTGCATGGATATATCATTAAAAGTAACGAAACGTTAGTGTATTATTGATTAAAAATATTCAAAATGATGATCAATCAACAAGTTAACAAAAAACGTTAGACTTTGATCAATTTCTATGATCAAATTGTTCAAAGATCAAAAATCTTTCAACCCACAGAAAGATCATGAATATTTTCTATAATCCACAACTTAGAATGATATAAATAATATTACCTTCAAATAACTTTGGCTTGTACCTGGTTGTTTTATATTTATAGAATTAATATAACTAAAAGACATTAAATCTGAAATAGATTATATGAGCAGTGTGAGCACCAAAAGAAACTCCCACTTTGACTTTAGTGGTATGATCAAACCAACTATTTTGGTAATCAAATTAAATTTTGAAGAGGATTTATCAGTACTATTTCCAACTCTTTTGACCATATATGTCAACATCTCAGATAGTAAAGGGGACAATACATAGGGCCTTTTTCTTTTTTTAGCTATTTAGCCATTTACCTTTTGTTTAAAAATAATGGCTAATACCAACAATCGATGAAAAAAATTAAAAACTGTCACCAAACCAAATATTATAATGGAACAAGGATGCATAAATAACATCAAAGTTTCTCATCCTTCCACGTGTTAGATATGATAGTGCTTTGAGGAGCTAATTCCGGAAACCAAGAAACATTGTCTTGTTCACACAAAAAAAGCCCTTCCAATTACATATATTGCTTTGTTCGAATCAAAGGAACAGCTAGACACATTTTTTGAAACATAAAAATACTGGTTCCGACCCATTTTCTGCAAAATCTAGATCATAATCCTAAGTCCTAACTCTCCTATTTTATTTTTGATCAAAAGAATTAACCTTGTTTCCTTCTCCTTTTTGTTTCTTTTGGGGTTTTTGAATATTTTCATTGTGTATTCTAGTTGAGTTTGTTTCGGATCGTAGCAGGATTTTGCACCCCATCTGTTTGTTACGCAACGTACAGCTTATTAATTATGAATTATGATCTTATGCTCAAAATACAGCCTGGTATAAGGTATTAACTCAATAATTTATTTTTCGTAACTCATGTATCTAAATTTAGTAAAAGTTATCACACATAGATTACAAGTTATAAGGCTTCCAAACATTTAGGAACATTTTTAAATATCAACCTAAGAAATAACCACTTAATTATGCTTTAATTACTTACAAATTGGGAAGACCAAAAGTGTTATTTTCTTTAAAAAAACTTCCAAAAGGTTTTTTGGGTTGTACATACGTATGCATTCATTGTGTCCTAATGGTGCAATTACAGACATTCTGTAGGAAGGCTAGGTCCAACCGAATCTATAAAACTGAAGCCTACAGCTTTTGATACCAAGAAAAGGTTAGGGACAAAATTTCCTTCTGAGGGATCGAAACATACGCCACCTCACCAGTCATCTGAATTTATATGGAGAGATTATTGCCCCTTAGTTTTCAGGTGAGTTCTTTGGTCCTGTTTTTTACATATGGGATAGAACATGTTGTATTGTGTTTGGTGTGCATTGAACTCAGTGTGGTATCGGTGCAAAAAAAAAATTGTGAATTTTTTGTCCCACTCTCTACAGAAGACGTGAATATCCTTCTCCAAAAATTTTAACAAATATAAGTAGGACAAAAGGTGAAGTTTTGTGTTCCACAAAAAGGTAGAACAAGGATTTGCTATCGATCCGTTGTTATGCAAAAGACATGAATGCCCTTCTCCAAAATATTTGGGACAAATATAGGTGGGACAAAAAGTGTCCCTCCCAGAAACGTAGGACAAGAACCTTCTCATCATCGAAATATCCCTAGAAGGTTTATCCAGTCTTGTCTACTCTCGTGTAACAAAAACAACCTTAACTTTGTTATATTAAACTATACTATTAGGGTACTTTCATGATATTTAATTTTGGTCCCATGATTTTCTTTCTTACATGTTATCGATGGTTCTAGGGCTCTTAGGAAACTATTTAATGTGGATGTGGATGATTACATACTATCAATATGTGGAAATGATGCTTTTCGGGAGCTCTCATCAACGAGGAAAGGTGGAAGTTTCTTTTACTTGACTCACGATGACAAGTACATGATCAAGATAATAAAAAAATCAGAAGTTAGAGTGAGTTAAATCTCAATCCAATGCAGGTTCTTTTAGTTCTTGATTAATTTCAAATTCGCAGAAAAAGCAACATACGTTTATTTAGTTGTGTATTATAGGCTATAGCATCCTACCTTCATTTCATCCTAATAAAAACTATCCTTCCATCTGTATCTAGATGACATTGCTATAACTAGACTCCGTAAATTTTTCAATATACATCGTTTTAATAGGAAAGTCTAAATATGTGATGCGACAATAAACAAATCAATAACAATACATTTATGTTTCAAAACACAATTCTGTAATAGGAACAACTAAACGTAGGATGCTATAATAAACAAATGAATGATATTACATTTGCTATTTCTTGCATTTAAGTTGTTACGTTCATGGAGTATTATCTTTTAGTAGTTTACTCATATGGATACTTATTATACTACTCTAGGTTCTAAACAGAATGCTTCCAGCCTATTTCGAGCACGTGAAGTCGTTTGAGAACACACTTGTTACAAAATATTTTGGACTACATTGCGTGAAGTTAAATGGGCCCATACAAAAGAAGGTGCGGTTTGTTATCATGGGAAATTTTCTATGTACTGAAGTACCTATTCATAGACGCTATGACTTGAAAGGGTCTTCACATCTGGGAATAACAGAAAAACCAGAAACCGAAATTGATGCAAACACCACACTTACGGATCTTGATCTTAAATTTATTTTCCGGTTGCAGAAAGATTGGTTTCAAGAGTTTTGCAGGTGAACTATATTATATATGCCTGTTTCTTTTTTCACTTAATATAGAAAAACACAAATACAACCAAATAAAATTTTGTAATCACGTCCACCACTAAATGATCCCTGCATAAGAAGTACCACTTAACAAATTTGCCCTTTTTGTTTCATCCTTTTGTCTCAAATATTATTTAACTTTTTATAATTTCCCCTTTTTATAAATGTGCCCTTTATAATGAGTGTTCTCTTCATCGTTTTCCCTCAAATATATAAGTACGTTACAATTATGGGTAAAAAAATATATAAGTATGGCATGTAATGGACCAATAAATGATATCAATGGAACAAAGACTGATTTTTTTGGGACAGGAACTCCCTCTTGATATCTCATTGGTGTAAAAGACGAAAATGGCGTTCTTATCCTCATTATCATAAAAAGCCCTATAAAGCTTGTCAAGTCCTCTGTAGCAAATTTAGCCATAATTCTTTTATATTTGTTAATTTGTTTTAAAATTTCCCTTAAGCTAAAGTGGTTTATAATTGATGCAGCCAAGTGAACAAGGATTGTGACTTTCTTGCACAAGAGAGAATTACAGACTACAATCTATTGGTTGGTATTAGCTTTCAAGAACCACATAGGCAAGCAGCTGAAGGTATATCACACACATCTTATATAACTTATTGAGCAGACAATGCAGTTATTTTGTGTTTTATTTTTTAGTGAATGCCACGCATGATAGCAATGGAACAACTCCTAGCCTTTCAGCAGACATGGATTCTCTTATAAATCCTATAAAGTAAGTTACATGTTGAAATTTAATAAATATTATTTAAATAGTCTCGGTTTGAGCCTATAAGGCCCTGTTTTTCTTTCTTGTCTCATAGAGTGAAGTCATGTTTAAAAAATGAGTATTTCAATTTTTACCCTTACATTCTTATCATACAATTTTCACGATACTCATTAATTATAACAATTTTAGTCAATTTAAATATGAGAATATCACAGGAAAAAGGACAAATGGGAAAGGGTGGTGATACATTAAGCTAAGGCCCCGTTTGATAGACATATTTCCAGGTTCAAACAGATATTTCTGGATGAATGGACCGGAAAGACTGTTTGATATGCATAAAAAATAGGTCTTTCTCGGTAAGATATGTCTTTCCCAGAAAGCTCCAAAACCATATCTTTCTGGCTGAATAGGCTGGAAAGACAATTGTGCCCCAAACCCCGCCTCTTTTTTTCTTGGATTATTAATTTCTTTTAAATAAATTTTTTAATTTCTTTTTTATTGAATTATTACTTTTTTATTGGATTAATATATATTAATAAATATTATTTTTAATATATAATATTTATGTATTAATTGATATTATTTTATCCCACCACTATCGGGCATAAACCGGGTCAAGAATCACACGTTGAGTTATAAAAAAAACAAAAATGGCTAGAAAGAATAACAACGTAACATCAACTTGAAAAACAATAAACTAAAAACAACTTAATCGACATTCTATTTAGATTTTTAAATGATTATTGTGTAATTTTGATTTTGTATGACAATTTGTATGTTTTTATAATTATTCAGCAACATCATCCATCACAGTATAGAACAACAGGGTGATATTGTCATTTTTCATCATTCAACACAGTCAATCAGATGTACAATCAAACAATATGGTTTCTTTCCCAGTCAAAAACTTTCTCATATAACACTTTTTCATACAGCATTATACTGGACAGAAACTATCAAACGGGACCTTTTTGTCTTAAGTCATTAAGTCATTATGTCTAGATTAAGTAAAAAACAAAACAATCATGTGCTTAACCCATTAAGCTCATTAAGTTAAAAAAAACAATGATATAAAGGTTACCGAATTAAATCTTGTCCTCATTAGTAAATGGATAAAATAGTGAAACTCGAATGGTAAATATTTTTAAATGAAAGTTAATTTGAATCCATAAAATTGATGAAATTGTGGTTCGACCTAGATAAAGGTATCCCAATGTGGATGCCATGTCAGCCAATTCAACATTTTAATGACTTGATTGGAACATTATAAAGCAAAAGATTATTAAATGGGATAGTAAGTATGTTGCTATTTGGAGTCTAAAAAATTTGTAAGATTGTAAATTTTCAGGTATAATTGTTTACGACTAGGGATTAAAATGTCAGCACGCATCGAATTCACTGTGAGAAGCAATGACATGCACCTAGTTGGAGAACCAACAGGACAATTTGGTGATGTCATCCTTTTCATTGGTATAATAGATATACTACAAGATTATGATAAAAGTAAACACACGTATAAATCATTCCAATGTGATCCCACTTCCATTTCTGCTATCGACCCAAGATTTTATTCTAAAAGATTTAAGGATTTTATATTTAGAGTTTTTTCAGATGACAGTTAAAAAAGTTGTTACATGATTTGAAATTATAGGAAAACCCGTAGGCGTCTAATGTATAGTTCGTCAAGAGTACATGATGTTGACCGTGTTTACCGGTGTACATGTAACTTATGATGTAGACTCGATAGTGGTTAGAAGTTACTAAAGATAAAGATATAGATTATTTTATATGAAATGCGTTGTTAGTTTCATTGTGTTTGAGTAGGTTTATGTTCTTCTTGAATTACTAAAATCTACAAATTCTAGTTGGGTTTGTGTTCATGAAGTAAAAAACAAACCGAAAAAGGGAAACAAAAAGTTGTCTATGTTTATTATTTTAGATAAACATGTAGCTTACGAGCGATTGGTGTAAAGGGAGTTTTTTGTAAAATAATAACATTATGGGTATGTTCGACACAAAACTTTTAGTTTTCATGTAAAACACCTAAAAAAAGGAAAAACATCATTCGGCATAGGTTTATTTTAGCATTATGGGTTTTCGCTTTTATTTTAAACAAAAAACTCATAATCTTGATGTTACTTTTGGAAGCTTTTAGCTTTTCAAAGTTTTTAGCTTTTAGGTTTATATAATTTTACACCTTTAAAAACTAACAACTACTTTTACCGAACATTTTTGTACAAATAAAAGTTATAACTTCCGGCTAGAAGCTACTAATTAGTTTACCAAACACACCTTATACACACCTGATAGACATAAATAAAACAGGTGACTAGCTCATATAAATATCAAAAAAGAAAGTATTCTATCATACCATAGTCAACTCAAAAAATTCTATAAAAAAAGTGAAAAACAGCAATTTTTGTAAAATCTAATAAAATAAATGATTAAATATAAATTAAAAGTATTAGAGAAGTACTATAATAACAATAAATAGTTTTTTAAATGGAAGAGATTTTATTAGTAAATTAGGTAAAAGCTAGTTAAAGAAAAGATTACAATGAGAAATAGTTACGCTTATATTTTGTAACCAACCAATCTAGTTCATTTTCAATTTTTCACTTCTATTAGACAACCGTAAGTAAGATTGTGTGACATTTTTATCGAATAAGGCATATTTTCTTTTGGTTTTATGATAAGAAAAATCTAAGAGTTTCGAAACGTCCAAAGAACCCAAAATTTTTTAAAAACAATAGCTAAACACTTCTCCATATTAAGCCTGAATGGTTCGCCCAAGAAAACCTATATTGAACTATGCAGAAATAAGGTATATCTAAGTCCCCCCCCCCCTCGTCCAATTTGTCTTCAAATCAAAGAATCCATGAAACATAAAATGAATTAGTGATCAATCGTCTCTATATTTAAATAGCCATATAATTTTGTATTGTATATTGCGTGAAGAATAGGTTACAAGAGGTCGTTATATATAGAGATAAGTATCACAATTAGATACCATCTAATGATATGTAATTATAAGAGTGTCTAATATGCTCCCACAAGCTCAGGATGGGGAATGATATGCAGTGTGGATCATAGAAAGAGAAATCTTAGAGTCGACAACGACTTTGTAAAGATGTCAACAATCTGATCGTATGTTAATATGTAATACCCCGTTTCCAGATCGGATCGACTTAGGGCTTCAAGGAGTCAAAGGCCTGGTTTTTGGGTAAAACCAAGATTCACGACGTGAGCCATAGATGGTCACGACGTGAGCAACGCGCAATGAAGATTTTGATTTAAGCTAAGCTCACGACGTGAGCATTAAGAGCTCTCGAAGTGAGGTACGATGCAACCCAAGCCCACGGTCTTTAAGGGTTTCCCTCGTATTTAAACCCCAAAAACTTCATTTTAGGGTTCCAAACCAGCCTCCTTCGTCCCTAAACTCAGTAAAACCCTAACCCTAGCCTCTCCTTGTGTTTCTTGAGCTTTTGTTGGAGTTTTGGAGGTTTGAAGAAGAAGAGATCACCATAGAAGCATAGTTGCAGCTTGGAAGCTTCATTTGCAACCTTTAGCCACACTTCTGGACTAATGTGAGTAATCAAGATCCAATCTTTATGTTTCCTTATTGCTAGATCTAAGGGTTTTATGCATATTTATCCAAGATCTTAAGAGTTAGAGTGTTGGGACTCCATAAAGTTGGCAACTTTATGGGTCCTTAGGGTCCTTAGATGCTTATATGTCATGGATCTGAAGTTTGAATGATGTTGGAGTTCATGCATGAGAATTTATCTTCTTTTTCTCCATGAATAACCTAATTTGAGCTGAAGTCTTGTATTGGACATACAAGACCTTAAAACATTGATTTTTATGATCCTTAGAGTGTTAGGACGCCTCCTGGAACAGATGGATTAGTGACTTAATGGATTAAGAGGTTTTAGAATCAATTTTGCATTCAGATGGACCTCGCGGGATGAGGAGATGCATGTCACGTTGTGAGAGTGGTCAAACTCGAGTATTTTGTCCTGGAGTGGTTCACAACGTGAGCCATAGATGGTCACGTCGTGAGGGTCTGCTAACCGTTGACTTTTTTACCAGGTTTGACTTTGGGTCAAACTTGAGGATTTTGGACTATTGATTGAGATTATATCTGGTTCTAGTGTTAGTGGATTCGTGGGAGCAAACAGTGCTGAAAAGGGGTCGTATCGCAGTGTTAAGAGTTCCTTGATTCAGGTGAGTTTCGCCTCATTGTACCGTGGGTCGAAGGTACCAATGTCGGCCCACTAGTTTTGGTTATTTTGTCAGTAGAAGGAGGCCTTAGGGACTGCATATAGTCATGTAGGATAGACTGATGAACCTTGGTCTAGGCTCTCTTACCTGTTCCTTGTTTGGTTGTGGTTCTAGAGTAGGACCACCTGTCCGGGTGGCTATCTCACCTCTGAATATATATGGTCATGCATTCCTTGGATTGTTGATACCTAGTATGTTGCTATGTTGTATTGATCTGTTAGATCGTATCCTGTTAAATAGAATGTTGTTATGCTATAATGCATCGTTGGATCATGTTATCTATACTTTGTGGTTATCATCTAGTGGAGTGCCCTATGGACTGTCTGGTCATGTAGGATAGCCTGAGAACTCTTGATCTAGGCTTTCTTGCATGTTCCTTGTTTGGTTGTGGATCTAGCGTAGGATCATCTGTTTGGGTGGCTATCTCACCTCTGGCTACTTATGGTTACACATTTCATGGAGGTTAGCTGGTAGTGGGACTGTATGATGTGAGAGGACTAGTAGGCGGGAGTGAGATGTATAATTGTTGTTTGTATGTATTATGTGCCTACTTGATCCTTGTTTGTTTATATGTCGACATATGGTAGTGGTGGGTTGAGGCGGTCCTGCTTTGTGTTGTAGGCCAAGATACCCGGTGCGGGCCGGCTATAAGGCGAAGGCACGAAGGCTCTGGTAGGGCAGTTGGGTTGAGGCGATAGGCCAACAAACCCTGGGTATTCTAGCCCGATGGCTGATTGGACCCGTTGCATGTTGGCATTCCAGTCCGAGGACTGATTGGACCTGGGCATTCCAACTGGGAGGTTGTGGGCCGTTACGCATGCTTGTATGTTTATCGTATGGGGATTTTGGGGGAAATTCACTAAGCTTTGTGCTTACCCAATTGTTTTATTGTTTCAGGTATCATCGGTCATCATGGGAAGGCGAATGCGTGACTGTACACATTCATTGACAATAATGAAGGAAGATTCCCACGCTTTACTATTACTCTGATTTTTAATAAATGTATCTGAAATAAACGCTTTCTCAATATTGGATTTATAATTGGGAGGATTTACTTAAATAAAAATGAAAATTTTTGGTTGTGGAAAATAGGACGTTACAAGTTGGTATCAGATTCCTGGTTTGAGCGAATTTGAGGAACACTTATGTAAATTCAGTCTCAAACTAGGATCCGATAGTTTTTGCAAAATACTTTTGAAAAAGAAATTATAAAAAGCCCTATAAAGCTTGTCAAGCCCTCTGTAGCAAATTTAGCCATAATTCTTTTATAGTTGTTAATTTGTTTTAAAATTTCCCTTAAGCTAAAGTGGTTTATAATTGATGTAGCCAAGTGAACAAGGATTGTGACTTTCTTGAACAAGAGAGAATTACGGACTACAATCTATTGGTTGGTATTAGCTTTCAAGAACCAAATAGGCAAGCAACTGAATATATATATCACACACATCTTATACAACTTATTGAGCAGACAATGCAACTATTTTGTGTGTTTTTTTTTTTTTTTTTTTTTTTTTTTTTTTTTTGTTTTTGCAGTGAATGCCACGCATGATAACAATGGAACAACTCCAAGCCTTTCAGCAGACATGGATTCTCTTATAAATCGTACAAAGTAAGTTACATGTTGAAATTTAATAAATATTATTTAAATAGTCTCGGTTTGAGCCTATAAGGCCCTGTTTTATCTTTCTTTGTCTCATAAATTGAAATCATGTTTAAAAATGAGTATTTAAATTTTTACCCTTACATTCTTATCAAAAAAATTTCATGATACTCAATAATTTTAACAATTTTAGTTAATTTAAATGTGAGAATATCGCAGGAAAAACGGACAAATGGGAAAGGGTGGTGATACATTAAGCTAATTTTTTTGGCTTAAGTCATTAAGTCATTCCGTCTAGATTAAGTAAAAAACAAAACAATCATGTGATTAACCCATTAAGCTCATTAAGTTAAAAACAAACAATAATATAAAGCTTACTGAATTAAATCTTGTGCGAACACGAATAATAAAAGAAGGGGGCTGAAAATATTTTTATTGGTATCAATGTGTATCTATATGTATATGCACATTGTAATATGTATCTATGTGTATATGTACATTGTTGAATGCGGAAAAGCAAATATAAATTTATATGTATATGTATATTTAAAGGGAAAAGTGATTTTAACTTATAGTAATTATAAATCATGAGATAATATTTTCTTTTGAACTAAAAATTTTTTTTTTTTTAGAAAACCTTAGAAAAAGAATTAAACATATAAAACAATCAATAACTATATCTGCATAAAAAGAAGAATTTGTTTTTTTAGAAAACCTTAAAGAACTAAGAAGTAATTAACATATAAAACAACTAATAATTATCAAACTTATCAAGATATAAAAAAAT